GTATCTTCTCTCTGTAAATCTAACTTTCTCATTAAAAAAAAAAATCTTAAAAAGAAAAAAAAAAAAACAACATGGAGTGTATAGCATACCATAGTTGAGCAGGGTGAGACCACTCCAGAAAGCTGTTCAGGCTCAAAGCAATGACTTTACCTCACACCTCATGCTGGTGGAACCACCAAGTGGTGCACCTAAGAGGAAACTTCAGAGGGTACCCGGAATACCATCGTTCCTCCATGCCAACCTTGGAATATGTGATATAGAAAGGAAGTCAAGACCCTTATCTGGTGACTGCCAATTTGCTGTCTAAGAAGCATTCACTAAAGGGGAACTTGACTTAATACACAAACCTCTTATTCCCACCCCTAGAAACTTTTAGAGATGTGGCAGGACAGTAGTGGCTCTTAAATTTTATACCATATCACCATCACCCATGATGTTTTTAATAGCTGGTAGCCAAGGCTATACTCCATGGCTCTTAAATCAGGAACCGTTGGGGTAGGGACTACACCAGGAGACTCCAATGTGCAGAAAGATTAGAGAACAGCCAGCCGAGAGGCCTTCTCTTCCAAGTATGGTCCATGGACTCAGCACCAGCATGACTAGAAAGCCTGCTAGAAATACAGAATCCCAGGCCCTGTCCAGACTTGGGGGTGGCAGGGGTGGGTGTTCTAACGTCACAGAGTCATGAGGCTCTAGAGTGCCCCATTTGCACATGAAAGTTTGATAAGTACCAGAATGCCTTTTAATGGAGCCTAATGGGGCCTGCTGGTTGCAATTATGTCCATAAATGAGAAGCTCTGAATAATGTAGCAATAATGACTAATGGGAAGGTGCAGCCAGGAAGAGGAGGGGGCATGGCATGTGGGAAACTATTAAAGAGGCGTTCAGAAACGGAAGGCTTCTGCAGCTCTGTCTGCATAGATGAATGTGTGCAACGCACATTGCAATGACCCCCAAATAGAAGCTGACACCGTCAGCAGGTTTGGGTTTGTTCCATTGGAATGTTGGTATGTGACAAGACAGCACTAAGTGCCTTACGCTTACCGTGAAATTAATCCCCAGGGCCACTCATTCTTCAGATGTGAATAAGTTCCATTTTGAAGAATCACAGCCCAGTTACAGGCACTTGGGCATTCCGTCACACAGTGAGGACTTTGCTTTTAATTCCTCATCTGCTTTTCCTGTGTTATTTAAAGGAGAAAGAGGGATCAAGCAGAAACACTTGGGATCAAGGTCAGGGTCTTCCCAGGACCATGTCACTGAAGAGTTGAGACTAGGGAAGGCAGAGGGATTGTAAAAGAGGAGACAGATGGTCTTGGCTCCTCAAGTATGTCAGCCACACCTGCTTCATGTCCACACAGTGACATGGAGTGTATGGCATACCAGAGTTGAGCAGGGTGAGGCCACTCCAGAAAGCTGTTCAGGCTCAAAGCAATGATCTCACCTCACACCTTGTGCTGGTGGAACCACCAGGTGGTGCAGGGCACTAGGGATAGGGCCAGGGCACAAGTTTCATAGAACACCACAGGGCAAGCTGTAGCAGCCTACCCCAAGACTCGCACAGACCCTGACAGCTTTGTCCACTGGTGACTGCAAACCAAGTCCACCCCTGAGACCAGGACACGACACTGCCTTCCGGCCTGTGTGTCATAACTGAAGTTTTATTGGAGTATGTTCCATCCTTTTTCAGAACATCACTGGCAACTAGAAACTTCACGCAACGGTGGTTTTATAACCACAGAGTAAATAAAATAGAGAATGGAATTGTAACAATAAATACACTTTGAATATAAATATACACATTGATATCCCACACGTATAAAAGTCATACTCTGTAAATACTTTCTCTACATATTGTCCTTGTGGGTTCGGAATTCCAGGACATGTCTTTGAGGATATTCGTGCGTCCCGTGAGTTATGAATTCTTCTGAGAGCTTGGGTAGGAGCAACACATTACAAATTTTGGAGGAAAAGAAAATGAAGTATCACAGAGCAATTTTTTTTAAACATTGAATACCTTTCTTGTTCTACAAAGAATGAGCATTTCTTCGATTTTACAAACAGTGAAACAAATATACTTGCTTACAGCTATGTACAATTTGCTACTTTATACTTCAAAAATGCAGGAAGATAAATTATAGATTCTATATATAGTTCTAGATAGAATGAACAATTCAATATTGCTCTTGTTGTTCTTGATGCATTGTCTGCATACCCATGGCTTGTCACTGGGTGGAGGGGACCAGCGCAGACGAGGGACCTCAGGGAGCCCAGTCTTCTCCCCAGAGAGACATCTTCAAATTCATATTTGGAGTCCTATAACTTCCTATGGCTGAGTCAAAACCTGCTGTACCCCTATGCAATGCAGCGTGGGTTCTTTTAAGAACTACCACTCCAGATTTGGGGATCAGAGCCACACAAATGTTTAAAATAAATGAATAAATAAAATAAAACAATAAAAACATCTGATGCAGTGGCACTTACTACCTTTTCAAGCCTGATCCAGGGGGAGCGCCTAAATAACACTTTCGAGAAAACCACCAATATCTTCAGTTCACTACAAATGATTTCAGGAGTGAAGATCCAAGGGAAGCCTCCCATGCTGTCTGAGCCAAAAACTCTCAGACTAAACGACAAAGCAACAACAGATTCCAAATGAGATCAGACTTGTAGTCATTGCAAACCTCTCATGGATGAAATCCTGAATACTTAAACACAGGCGTTGACTGTAAAGGGCTAAAAGAAATCAGGACTTCCAAGCTGTAGGAACAGAGCAGTCTTCAGGAAAATCTCACATGAAAAGCCTTATTAACATCATGGTCAGTGGCAAAGATCCCATTTCCCTGTTAGCAGAAAAAGCCAAGCATAACCTGTATGTCCCATGTTGGCCATGATGTTCTACTGTCTTTAGACTTTACCCATATACAAATGGCAAACTGATCACCCCTCTCTGAGCACAGAAATGGGGAAAAAAATATAGAAGACAAGTTGAAAAGCAAATGATCCAGAAAATGACCCTAGCAGATCTCACTGTGAATGCTGTGAAACCTGCATTAGAGTGTACATTAAGGAGGCCACAGGACTGGTCCCAACGCCCTGAGCTCCCTACTAGCGCCCAGGCTATGTCTGTCCTGGGTTGTCCCCTCTCAGGATGAATGCCCCCTCTGGTCAAATCACAGAAAATTTGTTCTAAAAGACCAAGGAGGTGCAAAGATTATGGAGTTGGATATTCTTAAAGGCACCTCCTACACACTCATTGCAAGGGTGTGCTTCTGATGGTAGAGGGAAGATGAGACCAGCACAAGGGCATTCAACCAGACAGGGGTACAGGATGCCAGTTTATGCTGAGAACACAGTGTGCTTTGGAGGACAGCTGTGGCAGCAAGTCCTGCGGAGGTGGGGCAGGGCGAACATGGCAAATACGGGAGGCAACATGTGCATGGTCTCCACCCTGGGAATTAGTATTGCTGCCCAACAGCCAGGAGGTGCCCTGTGCAAGCCCTGGTGGCACTGCAGCTCCCTCTGCCTGCCTGCCTGGCAGGTGTCAGGGTTGCCAAGAGGATGATCTCACAGTTTGGCCAGTCTGGGAATTGTGAAAGCAGAGCCTCAGGTTCGAAAGATGGAAGAGCACAGGATCTGCCTGGGCTCTCTGCAGGACAGGGCAGCCCACTTGTCTCCAGCCACTGTCTTCTCCCACGCCTGGCGCAGGAACCACACAGTGACTCTAATTTGGTTTTAAAAAGGATTAAGGATGCATACACAATCATTAGAAGATAATTGTTTCTAGAGTGAAGGCTGTCTTGCACAGCCTTCAGAAGATGTGTATCATGGAACATGCAAGAGAAGTTACTAGTATACAAATGCATTTTTCAGGAGTACACTTCGGATATACACAGAACATCAAAAACACAGTGAATGACTTCTGTCTCAGAGTCTTTCGTTAAGGTGCGATGTGTGGCGTACACACGTACATGTCACTTAGAAAAACAGATGTGCTTTTGGTCGTCAAATGGCCTTTGCTGGCTGTTGCCAAGCTGGGTACAGATTGAGTTATTTGAGAGAATAAAACCATCTTGGAGGGAAACAAAAATGTCTACAAAATGGCTACTTTATTCACTTTTATTTAAAACCTAAGGGTTGAAGAAGTCACAGCCCTCAGAGGCCAAAGGGAAAAAGGTTCACATTTCTAAAACTCTCCAAGTAAAATCCCCAGGGAACAGTATTGCCATGTATTTAATAATGTCACAATATCCACAAGAATGTCCAGCAGGACAGCACACTAGTAGGGAACTCACTATTGCATGTGAAAATAAGCAGTCGAAAAGGTGAGGATGATGTTAGCTAGCCAGGTCTACATGAGGTGAACACGTTCTCTTGGGAGAGGAACAAGGTCCTTACTGGGTCAGGAGGAGTGATGGGGGACATCCTTCGAATGTGCTATTTTATGTTGTAAGAGCAACAATAGTAGCTAGCGATAATAAATCATGAAAAGAACCCAATATGGTCCACTTTGAATGGACTGGTGTACTCATTCCTGCCCACACCCATGCCTCTTTCCCCAAACCCCAAATATACAACGATGTTACTGGCTCCTGAGTAGAGAGAAACGCCTGGTGTGGGGCTGGAGCCAGCAGCTCCGGATAATGTGCTCTCCCATGCACCACATGGTACCCCAGGCATCTCAGCACATGCTGCCATTAATCACAGATACTAGTCCTCTTACCCCCGTTGGGGAATGCACCACTCTGAGTTCTCTGGGAGGCCATGCGTGTTGCTTATAAACTACCTGGCAGGTTCCACGGTGGAGGCGTGGCTTTGCATTGGTGGTGTGGCATGCCCTCCTAAGGACACCAGGGCCTATCTCGGTCCAATATAATATTTAACATGTGGGCATCGTACATGCTACCCTGACAATGGTGAATTTCACACAGGAGTGGGAGCGAGGGGAAGGGGCACAAGGATTGGGGCGGGTGGTCGGAGGTGGGGGTTGGGTTGGAAGCTCCTCCTGGGGCAGCACATTCACATGACCACACACTTGCCCTTGAGCTTCTCTTTCCGTTTCTGCTGCTTGCTCTTTTTGCCGTCGATCTGAAGGCTCACGGTCCTGCGCTTCTCCAGGTTGAGCAGCTCCTGGAAGAGCTCCTTCACGTTGTGGTTGAGCTTAGCCGAGGTCTCCATGAAGGCGCACTTCCACGTGCGGGCCAGGGCTTCCGCCTCGCTGCTCTGCACCTCGCGGTTGGGGCTCTCATCGCACTTGTTGCCCACCAGCATGATGGGGATGCTCTCCACATCCCCTTTGATCTCGCAGATCTGTTCATAGATGGGCTTCAGCTCCTCCAGGGACTGCCGGCTGGTGATGGAGTAGACCAGGATGAAGGCGTGCCCTTTGGAGATGGACAGGCGCTGCATGGCAGGGAACTGGTGGCTCCCAGTGGTGTCGGTGATCTGCAGCGTGCAGATGCTCTTGTCGCAGCTGATCACCTGCCGGTAGGTGTCTTCCACAGTGGGGATGTAGCTCTCCCGGAACGTTCCTTTCACAAACCTCAGGACCAGCGAGCTCTTGCCGACACCACCTGCCCCAAACACGGCCACGCGGTAATCGTTGCTTTGCTCAGGCATGGCGCTTGTAGGTGTCAACGGTCACCAGTAGACACCTACCAAAGGAAACAGATGTTTCAAAGCATTAACGGGAACATTCTCAAAAAGGATCACTTAGTGTTGCATTTACTCTCCCAGTATAAGAGCAATTGAAAGCTCATTTCAAAATCCCTACAATTCTAGATGCCATGTACTGGGTCAACTCTCAGTCTTTCGGAAGGGCAGCCAGTCAACCCTGTGGCTCACACTTGACCTGATGCCCAGGAAAAGATGCAAAGTCAGCCCAGCCAAAGCTGAGAGAGGCAATGCGGAGATGAGCAAAGGACGACCCCCAAAGAGAAACATGGCCCATCATTACAGCATCATTTCACTTGTAACTGCTTGAATGATAATGTATGGCAGCCACAGTGAAGAATACCAAACCAGTAAAAACCACTTGGCTTCTTATACAGAATCACAGAAAGTTGGAAAACGGTGGTTTAAAAAGCAAGCATGTAATAGCACGTAAGTGTCAAATACCCAGGAATAAATAAGTATGTGCAATCCATTTCTCCTGAAAACCACCAACATGGTTGAGATCAATGAGAGACGATTGAAAGAAATGAACAGACCTGCTGTGTTCACTCATGGAAAGACTAACTTGTGAAGGTGTACATTCACACTGCATTGCTTTATAGTTTCAATGTAGCCTATTTTAAAATTGCAACAAGTCCTTTAATTAATTTATCTATAATATTTATTTGAGCAGAGAGAGGTAGGGAAGGAGAGAGAGAGAGATCTTTCATTTGCTGGACCATTCCCAAAGGCCTGCAATGGCCAGGGATGATGCCTGGAGCCAGAAAATCCACCCAAGTGTGTCGGGTGGGTGGCAGAGACCTCCTAACCATATAAGCCACTGCCTGCTGCCTCCTAGATTGTGCGTTACCAAAATAATAAATGAAAAGAAAAATTAAGAAAAAGAAAAAAAAACTTGTACTAAATACCCAACTTGTTGGCCATAATCACTTGTGGGGTTTTTTCCAACTACAAATAGTGGAAGGGGAAGAACATGCTTCTAATATTTAGTGCTTCTGTTAACTCCTTAAATTTCTTCCACGTTGCAGAAGTTGGGGGTCACACTTTGTGCTGCATAATGAAACAAGGGGCACAGAAAACTCAGGAAGGTAATGTCCCCTAGGGCCACAGAGTCAGTGAGGGACAATGTCTGATATCAAAGTGTCACAGATGGCCATCTCCTCTCAGACTGCCCAAGGTGACAGCTGGTGCCTAGCCAGGGTGTCTTCAGTCTTCACTAAGCAGGACTAGCTGACAGCTAAGATGCTGGGAGAGTCCTGACTGCCTCACACTAAAGCAGTTCTACAAGAGGACTTGCAAAGGATCACCGAAAACACAATGAAAAGCACTTCACTCTGGTACAAAATGTCTTTGGAAACGCATATGTTTGGTTTAGTTCTACAGTGTACACTTTCTATGAGCTTTCTGCAACCCTTTCAGAAGTGCTTTGTTATAAATCATAAGGAATCAAACACTGCCAGGCTGGCAGCGCACTTGTCAATCATCACTAAAATGGTAACATGGAGTTACATGGACCAAGCTCTCTTCCATCACAAACAGCAGCCTTCTCAAAGGGATTCCTAAATGTCCCTGCATCATCTCCATCAGATGCACTCCGTTCTGCCCTTCTTCTCTGAGAAGGGACATAAATACACAGAATAGAGAATCAGCCAACACCCATTTTCAAAAATAAAATAAGTACACGTGTTATATGAGAAAGCAAAAGGGGAACTCATTCTTTTCTACAGGAAAGCATAGTGCTGAATTCTCATTTTTCTATTCTTACAGTAACCGTGGGACTACAGCAAAGCACTGCGGAACAAAGTCATTTTCAGAGTCCGTCAAAAATCATTCAACATAATCAACAATGGAAGGAAATGGCCTTGCACAATGTCTCCTGGCAGACAGACGTTAGAGGCGGCTTAGGTCTGCTGTGCTGCATCGCTGAATGTGCCATGTGCATTTGCCTAGCAGCCTGCTCATTTATCTGCTGCGCTGTTCCTGTGTGTACATGGTAATCCCACACCCACCAAGACACAGACGCGAAAGAAGAAGATATGAAGATGTCAAGAAGTTCATGAATAACAAAAGACTGCAGGGGAGCCTGGGCGTCATGAGATAATGAGGATCAATTCAAGAGTGCAGCATCATGATAAATTATTCTACGCTTTGTAATACAACAGCGTATGCACTTGGATTTAAATCTTCTCTGCATCCTCAGAATGACGATTCTTCCTTGGTTGGAAGACAGTGATCTCATTTCACTCCAGGACCTGGCTGGAAGGGGAACATCTCAGAAGCTCTAAGAGTTCTTGGTCCTCAGCACACATTCTTTATGTGTTCACTGGATATGTGATAAGCTCTGTTAAGATGTCTCTGGTATTTAAATTGGTAAGCAAAATGCAGAACATAAATACTAAACGTGAATAAGGTGATTTTGGTTACCACTATCTGTTTGTCCAAACAAATACCCACTCAGCAACAAGCCCAGGAAAGGACATGACACATCCCACTTGGTAGAAGTTAGGATGAAGTTACAAAGTCAGAGAGAACTACTGGGACTCCTAATTCTTCCTGGAGCTTCCAGAAAGCGCTTGACAGCACTGGGATTTTCCAGATGGTAGAGTGATGAAAATGTATCAATCAAAATGAAGGACTCCGTGAAACAGACTTCATATCCAAGCCAGAGGAGGAAGCTGGTAGGGACCATCCTAGGAAAACAGGTGAGTAGTGACAACATTAATCAAGAAAAAAGGCCAAAGAGAGAATTCGCTTTAGAGAAATGGTGACAGACAGAGAGAAAATTTATGCTATAGGGGAGGATATGCTAATAATTGGGTCAGGGTTTTGAACAATAAAGGAAAAAGTCAGTTAGATGATTGGTTTTAGCTTGTAGTCCAGCAGAAAGGTCTCATCTAGTGAAGAGTATCTGGGTGTCATCTATACCCAAATAGCACTAGAAAAATAAATAAAAATAAAATAAATTCCTCAAAGGAGACAATATAAAGAATAAAAGATCAAAGACCAAATCTTGTGCATACTATTCAACAGCTTGGTAGGTTGCACATGTGTTCTGCAGGGAGATTGCTGCTACTATAAAATGATTCTGCCTGCAGCCCAGGCGCACTATGGGGAGTGAATGATAATGACACCACACAACCAAGCACTCAGCACAGCTCTCAGCACTCCGTTCTCTGGCTGCTCTGAGCAAGAACCAGAGAGGGAGAGTGTTTGGAGGCGAGCAGGAGGGCTAAAGCACACTTAGAAGGAAACTACAGCTGGAAAGACCTCAAATTAGTAATCTAGCTGTTCATATTAAAAAAAAAAATGGCAGGAAAAAAGAGCAAACTCCAAAGGAAGAAAAAGCAAGAAAATTTCTGTTTATAGTGAGAATTAAAGAATAAAGAAAATTGATCATCTCAAAGGTTAGATTTTTTAAAAAATATCAACAAAATGAATAAATCTGTGGCTATAGTGATGAGACAAAAAAAAATGAGACTAGGAAAAATGCTAAAATCAGGAATGAAAAGGGAGATAGTATCATTGACTGTGCTAATAAAAAGGGTCAGAAAAGATTCCTGTCACCATTGTTACCAACAGTTAGGATACCTTAGATGAAATAGACAAAAACAAAACAAAACAAAAACAGGAACAGACCAATAACGAGAAAAGATTAAACGACAGATCAGGAACTATGTCCAGAAAATCGCAGGCCCAAAAGGGTTTACTGGTGAATTTCAGGGGAAAAAAAAAAAGTTTTATTTAAATGTATTGAAATTTGTGTAAAGTTATTTTATTGAAATTATTTGAATAAAATTTAAATAAAAATCTTAACAATTATCAAACGCAGGTCCCCATCCACCCAGTAAAAATTTAAAGGAAAAGTAATACCAATTCTTCACAAACTCTTAAAGAAGAAAAACATCTTTCATTGCTTCTAGGAGTCCCATATTACCCTAACCAATACCAAAACCAGGCAAAGACATTGTAAATGAATATCTCCATCTATAAAAGGAATTAGCCATTATAACCAACACAGATTTATCCCAGGAATGCAAAATGGGACTAATAGTCAAAAATCAATAAGTAATTCCAGCCTGCTGCCGATGCCCTCGGCGGGAAGCAACAGAGATGACTCCAGTATTTGTGTCCCAGGCACTCACACAGAAGACCCGGATAGCATCCTTGGAGTTAGGCCTCAGCTTAGCCCAGTGTGCCTGTTGCAGAACTCGGGGAGTGAGCCAGAGAATGGGAGATCTCTGTCTGACTGCCTTTCTCTATGTATGTGACTTGGGCTTTCCAACAATGAGTGTCCTTTAAAACACAAAATGAAATCAGCATACCAGAGCTATTTCTACACTCCTGTTTATGGCAGGTAGCTCAACACACAACAGCTAGGCTATGAAATCAATGCAGATGCCCACCAGTGGCTGACCGGATAAAGGAAATGTGGTATATAGACACTATGGGATACTATTCAGACATACAAAAAACCATCTGTGCTTTGCAACAGAATGGATGCAACTGGAAACCATTATGTTTCATAAAATAAGCCAGTCCCAAATGTCATATCTTTTCCTGAACTGGGGTAACTAGTACAGAGTAAAAAAAAATGTAGTCTGGGCCCAGTTAGGTAGCCTAGCAGCTAAAGTCGCCAACTTGCACACACTGTGATCTCATATGGGCACCGGTTCTAATCCCGACAGCCCCACGTTTCATCCAGCTACCTGCTTGTGGTCTGGGAAAGCAGTCAAGGACAGCACCAACCCTTGGGACCCTGCACCCGCATAGGAGACCTGGAAGGAGCTCCAGGTTCCTGGCTTCAGGTCCGTGTAGCTTCGGCTGTTAGGACCACTTGGGGAGTGAATCATCGGACAGAAGATCTTCCTCTCTGTCTCTCCACCTCATTGTATATTTGACTTTGCAATAAAAATAAATAAATCTTTTTAAAATGGAGTCTATATAAGCAAAATCGACACTTTGATTATTACTTATAAC